AAGTGGCAGTATTTGAAGACGAATGCTGCTCATCCTTCCACTTTCTCAGGTCTGGAAGGAGTCTTCTGAACCACGCAGTTGTAGCTGTATGGCAGGAAAGTCAGGGAAGTTCATAACAAAAGCAAGCTACAAGATGCATTGCTGAGACTGTGCACGAATATGCTGGGGACTGCTTCAATCTCTATTTTATACATGGAAAGATTGAGGAGGCAGAATACGCTTGAAGCACTTGACCAAACTCATGCAGCAGATAAAAGAGCAGGGGTGGAACCCAACAGGCTTGGTGCTCTACCCATGGGCCAGCAGCAATGCCATCACCCAGGAGCTGTCAGACGTTCAGAGCTTCCCATCCCTCCTCGACTCCTCAATCACCTTCTGCTTCTGACAAGGTCCCAGGTGGTTCGTCTGCAAGGTGCAGTTTGAGAAGCAACCTCTGGAGATTGGTCACATGTTCTGCCTGGGTTTATTGGACCATGCAGCCGATGTCAGGAGCATGGCCGGCAGGAATCTTTTTGCTTAGTGCTGTATATCCATCATATAGAACAAGGCCGGTATATAGTGATGCTCAGTAAATGTTTACTGAGTGAATGGATAAATGAATGAATGAATTTGGGTATGTCTGACTTAGGTCCAGGCTCAGAATTCCTCAAAGACTTTCTCCCGCATTACCATGGGGCTTCTGCCAGGACTGGGACCCCTCCTTTCTGGCTGTCTTGTTGGAAGGTGCCTCTGGTGTGGGGACCACACTTTAGGATTATCTGCTTCCCTCTTTTGTGGAGGTAATCATCAGTGCCAACATCGCCCAATGTTGGATCAAATCACACACATTCCAGAAATCTCCCAGGAAGCAGCCCCTCTCCCAGCCACGTTCCTCATTCCTTCCATTTGTTCATCAAACCATCTTCATCTTGGGCTGTTGTTCCACTGCTCACACATCTCAGCTCTTTCACATACCTGAGAGTTATTTCAGCAACATTTCTCCAGCGTCTGCGAAGGGTTTTATTTTTGTTCAGTGAAAAGGCTTCAAAGCCCTCTCTCTGAGCTTTGAGTTTGGCATGGACGATGTGAATCATTTAATGGGAATTGTTATTTTTTTTTTTCAAGGAGGGATTATTCTCAGCAAAGTCTGGGACTGGCCCGAAGGAGACAGCCAGACATCTCCAGGTAGAGGGAGCATCCTGCTGTTCTCTGGTAAATCAAAGAGGAACAGGCGGCTCCTGCCCCCCTCATGCCTGGCCTGACCCCAGCCTTTCATGTGCAGCGGCCATGGGGAGGAGAGAACGCACAAAACCAGAACAAACCCCCCAAAGTAAAGGCTTAAAATGAAACCATTTCACAGGGACAATACTCTGTTCTTCTTTAAACTCTACCCAAGAACAAATGGGAGTTTTTTTTCAGTGGAAAGACCGGATTTGGGCTTTCATCCTCAGAGGCCTTTATTTGGGGTACCTCTCCCACCTCCATTCCTTTTGTTATTTCAGAACTTCTTAGAGGCTGGGGTGGGGGCAGGGAGGTGGACAGGAGCCTCCAACCCGCCCCAGGTGGGGACCCACGGCCTGGGTCTGGGGATGCTTGGTCTTTGGTTGGGGGAATAATGAAGGGTCAACCTTTATATCTGGGTAGTCAGTGGGGAAGAAGTCAGGGAAATCATAGCACCAGGACCCTGTCCAACTCCAAAGCAGGAGCTGTTTTGCCATCTGCCTTTCAACATATAATACATTCACAGGAAGTGCTACCACACCGCTGGTGCAGCTAGGAAATCTAGATGCTAAAATAAAATACCGTCATGCAGCCCCAAACATTGTCTTGCAGTCCCTCTGGGTCCCACACAGTGTGTGAGCAACAGAAGGCTGCCCAAGGCACAGAATGACTCAGACAGTCTCAGGGGCTCAGGGTTAGACACTGCTAATCGCTCCAGTGGAGATCGTTCCCACTCAGCTAAACATGTTCTGAGAGGCGACAGGAAGCCAAGCTTGGGTATCAAATACAAGGCTGCTATTTTCTTGGGAGCAAGCCTTTCTAACCAGGGATGGGCTGACAAGCCACTGTGGCCTTGGCCACCTACTCCTCCTTCAGGCCTCCTCCCTGCCTGACTCCAGACCCTGGGGAACCTTCCCTGTAGAAAGTCCTCCCAACCGGAGGGGACAGAAACATGTGGACTATGTGAGAACAGGCTGCAGCCAGTTGCTGTCCTGCACCATCCAGCACGGGGCAGACCCAGTGTCCCCTGAGAAGAGAGGCACAGAGAACGGGAGACAGAGCCAGTGGTCAGAGGGGGCACAAAGGGAGGGGCCTGGGAGCCCCAGCCAGAGGGGAACCACCCCAGTGGCCTCTGTAGAGTCTCTGGCCCTGAGGACACCTGCCTGCCCATGCAAAGCGGCCAATCTCATCTTCCTCCCTGGTCATCTTGGGCTGATCTGGGTCATGTAGGGGCTCCCCAGGCAGCAGTGCAGGTGATCGTTTCTTCCAGCTCTGCTTCCTGAAATGCCCTTCCCACGGGTGGTCCTCACCTTGCTGCCCGATGCCCAGGCTCACTACAGACGGCTGCCCACCACGACGGCTGACGAACAGTGGATGGAGCAGAGTTGAATCGAGAGAGCCAGAGGAGCCTGGGACGGGGTGGGTGACACCACTGGGGCTTTAAGTGGCCTGAGGTGCTTCTGGGCTCTGGACAGATCTGGGCACCAAGCCTGGGTCACCCTCTATGTGTCCTTGGGGAATTTAATAGCCCTAACAGCTTCCTCATCTTCTCCCAGGCTGTGGAAACAGCAGGCTCCGGTCATCTGCACAAGGAGACTAAATGTGGCTTCCCTTCTCTGAGGCCCGGCTCTCAGGGAAGAAAGACAGGATATCCCTCCTACCAAGTCACTTTGGGTGGACCCCTTACCTGTGAGGTGAGACGGTGTGCAGGACCTAGACACTTTCCTTCTCTCTCTTTCCCTAAAGCAGCAAAAATCCAGTGACGTTTCATTCAGAATTCCAGCATGTAAAAGAGAAGAGCAGAGCTGCCTGGTTGAAGGTGGGGTATGCGGGATGGGGGACTGGGCAAGGGGTGGGAAGCCCCCATCTTGCGCTGGTGGCTGCCTCCACAACCCTCCGTGAAGCCCCAGGGTGCTGGGTGCCCCAGTTGGAACATCCCTCTGAAGGCCTAGCCTTCTCTGTAGTCAGTTCAAATGTGGCAAATAGAGCTTCTAGCAGGAAACCTGACCCTCCCCGCTGCCAAAAACCTTGTGCAGGCCTATGCAGGTACCACGGCAGCATCCACAAGGGGTGTGGCAGTGAGGGTTCGACGTGGTGGACACAAAGGCCCACCTGGGCTGAATCCAGCCCCAAGGAGGTCCCTGGGTCCACATGTTCTCTGCCTCCCTGTCACCGGGCTCCACCCTGTCATCCCCCCACGCATAGGTGGCTGCTGTCTTAATGCCACCTCCCCCCGCATGTCCCCAAGGCTGGCACACCCTGCAATTATGGTCGCTGTTTCCCTGGCTCTCCATCCTGCCTGCCTCGCCTCCCCACTCTCTGCCGCTAATTGCTGGGTTTGCCCTTCACCATTTCCGCGCAGTAACTCTAAGTCCCGTCCCCCCTCAGCCGCGGGTGCTATCTGTTTCAATAACTGCAGAGACAAAAAGAAATCAAGATGGTCTCAGCAAAGCATTTCCCTTAGCCTGGGAGAAAGGGGCATTTGAGCAGGTCACCAGCGCTTCTCAAACTGGAAGCAGCACTTGAATGACCCTGGGATTTTGCTAAAAGGTAGACTCTAGTTCTGTGGGTCCAGGGTGGGGCTGGAGACTTTTCGAGTCTGACCAGCTGCCTGGCGATCATCTGCAGGCCTCGGTGTTAGCTCAAAGGTGCCAGGAAGCACACAATGGGAGGCAGCGAGCCAGGACTGGCCAGGTGCTGGGAGCAGGTCCCCCCACCTCTGCCTGCCTCCTAGCTGAACTGGGGGTTTGGGCCCAGAGCCTCTGGGGTCTTGGTGAGGACTAGAAAGGAGGTGCACTTGATTCTAGCCCAGGGCAGATGATGCAGCCAGGTGGGTTCCTACGAAGAGATGGGGACCCTGGTGAGAAGGTGTCACCCTCTCCTGAGAAATGGATCCCTTTGACTAACTCTTTCCACAAGTACTTACTGAGTGCCTATGGCATTCCAGGCACAGCGTAGGTTCTGAAGATAGGGAGTAAACAAAAGAAACCACGTGATGCCTAACTCCCTCCTGCCACTTCTGTTCTCTTGTTAGTGAGGCAGGGAGAGATGCTAAGTGAGATAAATAAAATACAAAGTATATTTCTGGTAATGAAGGCATAGAGCAAAATAAACCAGAGAGCCAATCCAGGCAGGCTGGGGGTGGGGGTGGCTCCCAAGTGGACTTTTAGAAGACAAATTTTAAGAGCCAAAGATATAAGCTCTTAAAAAAATTGAGAAGTAATTTCTATGTGTGACAAGCACAGGAACCCTATGTGACAGTCTCGTTCTTCCCATGCCTGACCACCGGGGTCTGCAGGGTGGCCTCCACGGGGTGTGGAGGAGGGGGAGGTCAGGCTGTCCCAGGGCAGACTGGCCATCAGGGCGGGCAGGGACAGGGACAGGAGGCCAGCTCTGGGCTGGGTGCTTTGAGTCTGCGTGTCATTTAGTGTCCCCAGCAGCTGGGGGTGCACACCCCCTCACCAGGGGGGTGCCTTCCTGCTTCTCCCATTGCTCCAGGGGAAGGAAGATGGAGGCTCTCATGGGCTCCGGCCCCGGCCAGGCACCGGGAGTGGCTGGGCATGGCCATCGTCCCATCACGCATCCCCCCAGCTCTGTGGAGTCCCCGCCCTGAAGAAGTTACCAAGAACCCCCCAGAGTCCCAGCACGTCCTGCTCGTGGGGGAGAGGCGGGTTGAGCCACAGCAGCTCTGATTTTCCAAACTGTCCATTTCAACTGAAACCCTAGGGGTTAAACCTGGCCACCATACGGCAGTCTGTCCCCCCAACATGCTGTCGCCGAAGGGAGGCTCCCCTCCTCACCAGGCCTTGTGCGGCCTCTCGCAGCCTCTGCCCGCAGGCACATCAGACTCAGGCCGCAGGTGGAAGCAGACTGAGGGGAACCAAAGCCGGAAGCTGCAGAAATAGCTTCCGGGGGTGGCGGGGTGGGGGCGTGGCCTCCTGCCTGCGCGCCCCGGCGCTGGGTCTCTGGAAAGCCGCGCCGGGCGGCTGCGCCCCACCTTCAGGCCAAGGGCTTTCTCAGACACGAGGCCGTGCGTTCTCAGTCAGACTCGTGCTCGGTGGCCCTCTCGTCCATCCCAGCCTGTCTCCTCGCACCGTCCTCCACGAAGCATCTGGGAGGAGGCATCCGAGTCCCTCTGGCTGTGACCCCTTGAGGAGAGGGGCTGAGCAGAGTGTCCCTGTGCCTGGCACACGTCCCCCCGGGCTCCCCAGCCGGCCTCCGGGCTCTGTCTGAGCGCACCTCACCGTGGGGCACAAACCAGCTGCAGGCATGACTGTGGCCGCGGTGACCTCTGTCTTTGGTGTCCCTTCGTGTCTCGATGGGCTTTTCATGTCCTGAGCTCACCACAAGGGGCCGTCCCTGACCATACGTGAGCTGAGGTAACACCAGGTTCTGGGTGCCCACCTGGGGCAGCTGTGGGGAGAGGCATCCAGCAGGGAGGGCCCCGGTCAGCAGGGCTGGGCACACAGGCAGGACCTGGAGGAGGCCCGAGCTCCCTTCTGGACCCAGAGCGGCTGCAGAGTAGGCAGCGGGAAAGCCCAGGACTCCGACTGAGGGGCGGGCAGCCTCAGGCCGCGGGGGTGTGGGAGGTAGTCCACGCTCAGCACCCCCAGTCTGCAGCTCCTTCCAGTACGAGGAGGGACAGCTGGGCACAACAGACACCTGTGCCCCCCACTTCTTCACCCTCTGCCAGGCAGCTGCCACTTACCGGGCACCCTCCCAGGTACAGCCCCCAGTCCGCCTCCAAGAGAGGCGGGGGACCCAACTTAAGTGAGGGCCCCACCTTGAATCAAACCAGTGTTTCCAAAGTCTTTGGTCGTGTCCCTTCATTAGCCTATATGGTGGCTCCAGGGGAAAAAGTAGGCAGGGCCCCCCTTCCCACAGGTGCTGTGCTGGGCAGCTCACCTGGCTGGGTCCCAGGGTGAGTCCAGGGCCTCCCATGCTGCTTCCCTTCCTCACGCCCACCAGGCCACAGACCCTGCCCTGATGTCTCCCAGGAGGGCCTGCCCTCCACCCCCAACTTGTTTCCAGCTTGACAGGGCCACTGGAGGGCCAGAAACTGTGTCTCCCAGCACTAGTTGGGAGTGTGGTGGTACCTGCCGGTGGGCAGTACTCCCAGGAGCTGCTGCTTGGGGTCAGGTCAGTTCTGGGGTTCTGTGTGGGGTGCTGGGGTGACCGAGGAGGAAGTCCAGCCCTGCCCTCAGCTGCTGCGTCAGTCTGGCCCCTGCCTCCTCAGGTGGGCCCACAGGCCTCACCACCGTGCCCTGCCACCCGGTGCCACAGCCTTCCCTTGGCAGCTCCTGCCCACCCCCAGGCGAGGTCTCGATCCCTGCGGGGAGGCCAGCCCATCAGGTCTCTGCTTGGCTGTGTGCCCAGCTAATGCCAAGCCCCCTGTGAGGTTCCCCATCAGGGAACAAGATGGCGGGCCTGTGATGTAAAGGCCAGGGACAAAGCTGGCGCAGGACACAACAGCAGGACACGGCGGTGCCCCAGGAAGCGTCTGGGCAGCACTCAGCTGAGCGTCCAGGTGCTCAGCCGGCTGCAGGGCTGGGCACCGTGCTGAGCCCCAGAGCCACCACGCTGTGACCTCACTTACGTTACCTAACCTCTCTGTGCCTCAGCGTCCTCACCTGGAAAACCAGGATCGGCTAAGGGAGCTGGGCGAGGATGGAAGGCGTGACCATTTGTCAGTCACTGAGGCAGTGCCTGGCTCTTAGCAGGCTTCCAGCACATGTCATCGCCAGGGGACACGGATGTGAGAGCAGCCGAGACCTGGGCAAGGCGACCTGCCCAAGGTCACAGCCAGCAGGGAGCTGGTCACACTGCTGCGAGCCTGCAGGAAATAGATGGGGACCAAACCACTTTGGTTTGCAGCCTCTCTCCATGGGAGGGTGGCTGAAGTTGACCTCACCACACAGAAATCAATAAGCAGGAGGCTGTTAAAAACCACCTCTCCATCAGCCTGCCGCTGGCCGGGAGCTGACGGATGCTCGTTTTGTGCCCTGCCCAGCCCGCGGGCACTTAGGGGCCCTCCACACCGTGTGTGCAGAGTACGCCTTGGGGCTCGGACAGAGGAGACGGGGCCCAGGCAGCAAGGGTGTGCATGCACCTCTCAGCGTCCTGCTTAACACGTGTCTTCCTGGGGAGCGAGACTGCTCCCTGACAGCTCCATATCCAGAGGAGGCTATCGTCTCGCAGCAAAAAATAAAGGCAAGTGTGAAAACAGCTTTTTATGCCAAGTTGGGGCCCACACTTCCAGGGGAAGCCTTCCCTGGAGGCCACTTGTTCACTGTAATTCCTCAGCCTGGCTTGAAATCACAGCCCTGTGAGCAAGAACTGTTGCAGCTGAGGCTAGACCCCACTGTGAGTGGTTGCAGGGCTTTCCAAGTCGGGGCCCAGGTCATACACAGTGTTGCTGGAAGAACTAGCCCAGAGACTTAGGTCAGACTCACCAAGAACATGAGACTGGTGTATCCTGGCTCTGGCTGGAAGGAAAAGCATGTAGTTTTTCTAGAATTACTGAGAGTAACTTAGGCTTTGAACCTACCACAATAGGCTAGGTTATGCCTCAGTAGCATAAGTTGGTGGGTAAGTACCCACCAACTCTCAGTGGCCAACAGCAGCAGACATTCCTCCTTGGCTCATGGCACACGCCCATCGTGGCGGGGTCTGCGCCTTCTTGTCTCTCCAGGACCAGATGGATGTGGCAGCCTTTTTGTTAAACTTGCCGGCTTTTGTTTCACGGAGACCTTTTGAAGGACTCACGCCAGCAGCCAGCTCTGGCCTACGAGTGTCACAGCTCACTTTTGCTCACTGGCTAGAATCAGTCCCATGGCCCTGCCCTGATGCTGGAGGGCTAAGAAGGCAGTCAGTCCTACGGGGTGTCCCGTGACCGGGTGTCAGTAACACTCCTGACTGATGCTTAGGCTCCAGGAAACCCCTTCTTCCCCGGCTCACACCCTCCTGTCACCAAAGCCATGCAGCGGCCACATCATGAGATGTTAGTGACCTCAGAACCAGGCTTGCTGTGAAGCCCTGGCTGTACCACTGCTGTGAATTTCAGACGTTCACTTTTGAGCTTCCGAGCATGGACTCAGATCTCCAGGAATTAGTGCACTTTCTTATTCTTAAATGAGTTGTATATATGTTGTTGTTCATTGTTGGATGCATCACTGAGTTAATGGACACGAGTTTGAGCAAGCTCCAGGAGATGGTGAAGGACAGGGAAGCCTGGCATGCCGCAGTCTATGGGGTCACAGAGAGTCGGACACGACTGAGCTACTGAACAACATTGCTGTTGCTGTTTTGTTGCTCGGTTGTGTCCGACTCTTTTGTGACCCCACGCAGTGTAGCCAGCCAGGCTCCTGTGTCCATGGGATTTCCCAGGCAAGAATACTGCAGTGGGTTGCCATTTTCTTCTCCAGGGGATCTTCCTGACCCACGTTTTGAACCCACGTCTCCTGCATTGGCAGGCGTTTTCTTTACCACTGAGCCATCAGGGAAGCCAGGAGGCATATATAAAAGTTATATATGTATATATACAATGTATACATAGGTTTCATATACATGTATATATATACACACATTCAGGAAAGCTCTCTAAAGACCTCAAATCATAGATACATGGGCGGACAGCAAAGTTGCCCTGGAAACCATCTTGCTCCAGCCTCGACTTTACCAGGCAGTTGACTGGAGGATAAACCTGGGATCCTAGGAGATAGAAGATGTCTGTGGTCAACAGCTGGAACAGGGAGGTGCTGACTGCTGTTCCATCTCGGGGGATTTGGGCCCCTGCAGAGTGACGTCTGAGGCTTTGCTGTGCAGCAGCCTTCCGCACTCAGGTCCCACTGCGATTGCTGCACCAGCTCAGCCTCACCGGGAGCCCCCTGCCGGGACCACGCGTTACCTCTGGGACTGTGAGTGCTCTGGTGACTTTGCCTAACTTACTTTCCTACCGCGCACAGCCCAGAGAGCCCAGAGGGTTAAACCCAGGGAGGCACAAGTGAAACAGCCAATGGGACCCTCTCCCCACCTGTCTCCCATCCCAGGGGACTTTTTCAGCTGGTTTTCTTCCCAGGAGAGCCCTTACACCTTCACATCCATTCATTCATGTATCCATCCGTCCACCCACCAGCCCACATACCCTTCCATCCGTCTGTCCAGCCATCCGTTTACTCACCCATCCATCCTTCCTTTCAGTCAAAAAACTTTTCTTCTTCTAACTTACTAAGCACCTACTATAGGCAGGGTGCTGTGTTCACCAGCTGAGGGTACAGTGATGACCAAGCTGAGACATTGGCCCTGAGGATAATAAATGACTCCTCTCTGATCCTTCCAGGGAGCAGAGTTTCATCAGAGGGGGAAGCCCAAGTGGTAGGAAGAGGGAGTGGGGTGAAGCATAGAAGAGCAAAGCTGAAGCTACAGAAGGTGGCTTTACTTACAACTCAGAAAGCAAAACTGACCACCAGCCAATGCCCAGCCAGAGAGGAGGCTGGGGGAGGGGAACCCCAGGACAGCCTAAGATGGAAGGTGAGGACCGCCCTCACTGTTCAGTGCAGGGTGGGGGCAGGTGGGGTCCTGCCAGGCCTGCTGACCAAGGACTCTGGGAGTGAGGACTGAGGAGGGTGAAGTTTGTTCTCTGAAGGTACAGGAAGAGGAAAAACAGTTTGAGGTCTGTGGACGTTTGCTATGCAGAATAAGTCATGGTGACTACAAATCAGCCGCGCAAGGCTTGTTATTGAACTACCTGGTTGACTCCACATTTAAAATGCAGTTTCCAGGCTCTGGTCCCCTTCTATATAGCTAAGTCAGGTGCTGTAACTTGAGACCTTTCCCTCGCCCATCTCCCCAGACTACTCTGGGCTGAAGACGTGCAGGAGCCATTTCCTGGTCAAAATGCTCTGTGGCTTCGTTACCCTTCCCTCAGACCACACTGCTGAGCCTCCCCCACAGCCCACGCCATCTGCTGCAGGACACGACCCTCTGGCACATCCGCACCGTCCACGGTGCCACCCTGCTTCTGCTGTCCCCTCCGAGCAGCTTGGCTGGCCACCTTCCTTGTAGCTGCACTTGCTGCTCCCCAGACTCTGCAACAGGGACCCCCCAAAGCGGCCCTCAGAAGGCTGTGATTATGCTTGCATGATTATTGACTGGCTTCCATGGCTCAAGAGGGCTCCTACCTGGGCCATCTTGCCTCCCACGCTCACCAATAAACTCCTCTCAGAAAGAGGGAGGCCACTCAGCATCATGAAAGCAACGATGGCTTCCAAGCAGCTAAATTCTGACTCCACAGTGCTGTGAGCTCACACAGGCTTCCCTTTCCTCACCTGGAAAACAGGACACTTCACAGACTCTGTGCACCCAGACACATCCAAGAGGATCAAAAGAATGTGTCTCAAATTCAGATGCTCCCCTACATTCTCCATTTCATGGGAACAGCCCTGGGTATACATTAGGTGTTTAATCAATGCAGATGACCGTGAAGCAGGGCTGTAACAAGTCAGATTCCTCAGAGAACAGGCTCCCCTGAGGGAAAGGCTGAGGGAGTGATGGAGCCAGGATGGGGGGCCCCATTCCCGGGGACTGGGCTCAAAACCAGAGCCCCTGCTTGGCCCGCTGCCTAGTGGGGGCTGAAAGCACCTGAGGAGCTTTCCCGGGGCCCGGGGGCCAGCGGAGCTCTGGTCGATTCCGAAAGTGGTGCTCGGCCTCTGCTGGCTGTGATCGGGTTGGGGTGGGGCACGGTGTGCCTGGGCGTTGAGTGATCAGACCAGCGGGGCTGGCTGGGACCCCTGACAGCACCCACTTGGGGCCATGGCCGCTTGCCAGGTGCCCAGAAAGCTGGGTGGCTTTCGTTTGTTGACTGCTGACCATGAGCTGCCTTCCAGAGCTACTCCTTCCCAGCAGGGGTGGGATGAGAGGCTGAGCACCCGCAGTGGCTGGCGCCTCCCTCCTCCAAGCACGTGTGGGACACAAGTGTCAAGAAGGTGGTTTAGGGAGAGCCCAGTGAGGAACTTCCCGGGGGCCAGGCCTGGATGATGGTTGGAGACCTGGGGAGGAGCCTGAGGGTGGAGCAGCCGTGGGTCCTGGGGCCTCTGCCTTCACCCCCAGGCCACACAGATCTAAAAGGGCTTCTGTAGGCCTTGCAACATTAACCTGGGCCCGGAGGCCTCCTTGCTCCTGGGGAGCAGGTGGCATTCTCGCTGCATGAGTGGGGCCGCCAGCTTCCCCTCCCGCCTGGCCACAGCGGAGAGGCCCAGGCTGGGGGCCAGACCATTGTGCCAGTTTGGCCCTGGGCCTGAGCTGTGGGTGGGGAGGGCACTGCTGCAGCATTCTGGGCCCGAAAGGAGGCAAGGGAGCCGCCGCCCTCCACCCTGGCCCCCACTGTCCATTCAGGGCCGCACTGTGGGTGTCGGTGACTCAGAGGAGGTTCTGGTTTCTGTCGGATTCTTGAGGCTCAGGCAACCTGATCTGAAACAATGACTAGCCTTGGAACAATCCTCCCCGCTCCCCCAGATAAGTGTTTCAGGCCTGGCCAAAAACGCGGCAGAACGGAAAATGACGTTGCGAGGGAAAGGTCAAGCGCTGGGCCTCCCGCGGCCGGGAGCAGGTGACTGCTCGGGCCAGAGGGCCGGCTCCGTGGCCTGGGAACACAGATGGCGGCAGTGACCCCACAGACCAGCCTGGGCCCTGACTGCTGAGTCTGAGCAGATGGCACCCAGCCACAGGACAGCTCAGGAGAGGGCCCAGCCTCTCGGCGGCAGGAGAGGAAGCGGAGCCCAGAGTCAGCCAAGCGTCCAGTGGGGCAGAGGGCTTTTCCCACTGACGGGGCCCCTGCTGGGTGCCAGAGCTGCATGTGTTACTGCTGCTCACACTGGCCCTGCCGGGAGGACCCTTAGCCTCATTTACAGACAAGGACATCGAGGCTTTGGTGACTGAGCGTAGAGCAGAGGCTAAGATGCCCTGTCCAGCAGAAGATGCCTGCTGGCTGGCTTACCTGTGCTCCTCTGCCACCTGGGGAGGTGCTCCCGCCCCTGCAGGCAGTGTTCACGCCCCCAGGGGCCCCACACCCCAAGAAGAGGCAGCTTGTGGCTGAACACCCAGGGGAAGCCTTGTCTCTCTGAGGGCCAGGTGGGCTGAGCCGTGGCAGGCAGGGCACAGCCCTCATTCCCAGGCTGTTCTGGGCCCCTCCGCACTTCCACCCCCACCCCGTGCTGGCCGGGATCACCCACGGACAAGTCCCCGCTGTGAGTCTGCTTTGGGCAACCCCCAAACAAAGACAGAGCCTCCGAGGGCTCATCGAGGGCCCTCTAGCAAGAGAGAGGACTGGGGGGACGCTCACGGTCGGGTTCTTGGGACAGAGGCCGGGAAAGCCAGCTGACTAACCACAGGTCCGCTAGAATTTTTTTCCCCTCAAATTTAAGTTTCCCCCCAGCTGAGCTTTTCTTAAACCTTCAGTGACACCGAGCAGGGCCCTGCCTGCCAGCAATGCTAGCGGCCGACAAAGGCAGTGAACAAGCGGTAAGTGAATCCTCACGGAAAAGCCCAGGATCGGCCAATCCTTTCACAACATTACTGTGTCTCTGGTGAACCCACGGGCTGCGGCGTAACTGTGTGTAAACATAATAAAATGCTATTATGCAAGTAAACTTGTTCTGATTTGCGGGGTGTACTGCAATGTGAGAGCGCTCCATGACCTCCACAGAGGTTTGTGTGCGGCGTCCAGCCCGCGCCCTGTGGCCCGGGCTCCGCCGTGACCTGAGCCGGGCGCTGGGAAGAGCCGGAACCCACCTGTGCGGGGCAGGCAGGGCCCGCAGCCCAGGACAGACTGCTCTCCCCGCCCTAAACACAGCCAAGGATGTTCCGGCCTCCTCACCCCCTTTAACTAACTCCCAGCTCCATGTCCTCAGAGACTGAAGGCAGTACCCCCAAAGGTGACGACAGCTCACCCTGCCTCTGGAGTCTCCAGTCTCCGCCGTTCCCCAGGAGCGGGGCCGGGTGTCTCCTCCTTCCCGGGCGGCGGGCACTGCGGGCACCTGTGTGGCCTCCAGCGAGGGGCTCACCCCGTGGGCGGCCTGAGAGCCCGGGGGAGGTGCGGGCTCCTGGGGATGAAGTCCTGATGTGAGCGAGGCCCAGGTGCAAGGCGGCTGTGCAGCCACATGGATCGCGGCCTCGCAGGGTCACGCAGGGTCCGGCGGGGGGCAGTCACCCCACCAGCTCTTTGAATAGAGAGAGCTCACCATAAAGAATCGCTAACTCGGTGCGTGGAAAGGGGAAACTGAGGTGCACAATAGGGGAGCAAGTGCAGGAAGATGGCGGGGGATGAAGAGGCTGGGTAGAGTGATTATAACCCAGGGGGGAGGGACCCCATGAAGTGGGGACCCAAGTCTGTGAGGAGGGGGGCACAGCCGACTGCTGTGGGTACCCCCCAGTGAGAGAAATGGATGGGTGGGAGTTCAGCTTCACGTGCGCTCTGCCGTTGCAGTCCCTTGCCCTTGGCAATGCCTTGTCCCCCTTCTCAGCTGGTCCCCTAAACCTCTGCCTCCTGGTATTTCCACCTCTGGGCAATCCTCTCCTCTTACCTGTGGCCTGGACCTAGTGAGTTGCTTGTACTAAACACAATAGAGCAGAGGCGATGGGAAGTGACTTCCAAGATTACTGGAAGACAAAAGGACCATGCCCGACCCCTCCTTGCCCGCTCTCACTCTCTTTCAGAACCTGTGTTTTGGGAAAAGCCACCTGCCGTTTCGGGAGCAGCTCTGTAGAGAGGCCCATGTGGATGTCTCCAACCCCCAGTCAGCAAGGACCCGAGGCCCATCAGCAGCTCCTTGAGACAGCGTGGAAGCAGACTCTGACCCCGAGTCAAGGCTGGGAGCCTGCCTCACTTCCCATGGCCTTGAGACCTGCTAAGCTAAGCTGCAGCTGTATTCTTGACCCACAAGAACTGACTGAGATCGTGAAGGGTTGTTGCTTAAAGATGCTAAATTTTGGAGTAACTTGATGAGGGTGAAAGGGGAGAGTGAAAAGTTTGGCTTAAAACTCAACATTCAAAAAACTAAGATCATAGCATGTGGTCCCATCACTTTTACGGCAAACTGAAAGGGGAAGAAATCGAACAGTGGCAGATTTTCTTTTCTTGGGCTCCAGCATCATTGTGGATGGTGACTGCAGCCATGAACTTGGAAGAAAAGTTATGACAAACCTAGACAGCGTGTGAAAAAGCAGAGACATCTTTGCCGACAAAGGTCAGAATAGTCGGAGCTATTTTCCAGTAACATCAGTCCTTCCAATGAATATAGGAGATTGATTTTCTTTAGGACTGACTGGTTTGATCTCCTTGCTGTCCAAGACTCTAAAGAGTCTTCTCCAACACCACAGTTCAAAAGCATCAACTCTTTGGCGCTCAGCTTTCTTTATGGTCCAACTCTCACATCTATACATGACTACTGGAAAAACCATAGCTTTGACCAGATGGACCTTTGTCAGCAAAGTGATGTCTCTGCTTTTCAATATGCTGTCTAGGTTTATCATAGCTTTTCTTCCAAAGAGTAAGCATCTTTTAATTTCATGGCTGCAGTCACTGTCCACAGTGTGTTTGGAGACCAAGAAGAGAAAATCTCTCACTGCTTCCACTTTTTCCCCTTCTATCTGCCATGAAGTAATGGGGCCGGATGCTATGATCTTAGTTTTTTGAACGTTGAGTTTTAAGCCAGCTTTTTCACTCTCCTATTTCTCCCTCATCAAGAGGCTCTCAAGTTCCTCTTCACTTTCTGCCATTAGAGTGGTATCATCTGCATATCTGAGGTTGTTGATATTTCTCCCGGGAATCTCAATGCCAGCCTGTGATTCATCCAACCTGGCATTTAGCATGATGTACTCTGCATAAGGTCAAATAGCTAACAAGTGGCAGGACTAGGGTTTGAACCCAAGTGGCCTGGCATTCTTGACATCTCTACTCTCTGGTCTCTGTAGAGAAAAGCACAGCTTTTTCAATCCTCTGCTCTTGGCAAAGCAGGAGATTGCCAAGTGGCAAATGCAGGGTCCCTCTCATCAGGGAGTGGAGAGGTGATCTGGAGGTGTCTAAGCAGCTTTGCTCTCTGGTCCTTTGGTCTCCAAGCCCATGGTCCTCAGTCCTTCTGCTGAGGGTCTTCACAGCAGCTAGAGAGGAGCCCTTGGAGAAGGACCCAGGATGGGCAGAGCCAAGACCGAAGGTAGCTTTGACACTCCTGTTATTTCAGGCCAGACATTCTGTGGCGCCAGTGTGCAGCAATAATCCTTCAGTGCCCTGGACGGGTCTCCGTGTGTTTAACAAAAACTAAGTTGGGTGGGGGGTTGCCCTGAGGAGAGCCACCCTCAGCCCTTGCTCACCTAAGCTCAAAGGACACTTTCTCCATTAACACAACAAACCATGAAAAGTTCGTCCTCACATAAGTGTTGAGGCTTATGTGTTGAGGCTTCAGGGCTGGCTTAATCCAGGGGCTCTGGCCTCATCTTTCAGAAGTTCTGTCTACTCTCCTCTCCCTGAGGTTTCACCCTCAATTCCACTTCCTTCATGGCAGCAAAATGCGGGCAGCAGCCCCAGGTCTCACACCCACATGCCCAGGTGCCTGAAGAAAGGAAACGTGTTTTTTTCCCTACTAAGTCTAAGAGGGTGGGATGCTTTCATATCTCCCTCTCTCCAGCTGGGCCACCAACCCACCACCCAGCCCTGTGAGGACCAGCTCTGGGGCCTAAGATAATGCCATGTGCTGATTGGCTTAGGTCTGTATTCCTCCACCAATCATAGGGCCCCAGACAATGGGCTGACACTCGGACCTACTGGGCTGAGGCAGGGGGATGCTAGGGGGAAGCCTGGGGAGGGCAGAGGCTAGTGAGCAAGGGGCAGGACCCCAGGTCTAAAAGGGTAGGAAGTCAATTTTCAAAAGAAGAGGCAAGTCGCCCCAAATCAAACTTGCCAGCTCAGTTCAGTCCTTTGCCTCAAAGGTTAGGCAACTCTGATGGCTCGTGTCCTAGCTTATGCCCTGCCATGGATCCTTCTAGTATGAGGCGTCCTGGTGGCCTGGAGACACAGACACACAGAGAGAGTCAGGGTCAGAGATACAAAGAATGACTGCACAAAGCCCTGGGGTAGTACCTGGACCACCTCTGCTAATACCTCCTGGCGTGGACGCGCCCTGCTGGACGGATTTGCTGTTAAG